CTTATAGTTCTGTTATACAATTACCATAGGAAAATAATATAGTAAAGAAAAAAGAAAAATATTAATTATCGAATTTTATTATTATAACATATGAGTAGATTATATAATAATAACAAAAATTATTATTGTTATTATATAATAATAATAATGATTATTATTATTATTATTATTAATAATTATTATATACAACAATTATTATATACAATGCATACAATTGTATAAGTCATTTTTATGTGAATGCAATATAAGTCACCTTTTTATTACTACTGCTATTACTAAATTAATCTAATCATAATTATTGGGCAGAGGCAATTTACAAAACTAGCTAATGATATCTATTTAAAATGAATTGTCTCAATTATGCATGCACAAAACACATTAAAAAAATCAAGAGCAACAATTGTAACTAGTTGTAAGCGTTATGAATATTGTTCATCCTTAAATCAGGCCTTGAGAACAGGCTTAACAAACTCAGGATTTGCCTCGGAGCAGTGATGTCATGTGAACTGGGCTGAGCGAACAGTAGCCTGTGTCTTCATTGTTTTGCGTAGCGTGAGACGGAGAGAGAGCTCACAAGAGAGGAAGGCAACTGCATCATTATTGTTAACTTAAACCGAGGGAGATGAAATATCACTCCAAAGTGGGTTTGTTGGGGGTTGAGGGCTAGTTTTTATATCTGATATGCATGGCATGACCAATAAAACTAATCTCCACTATCAGAAAATAAACAATGATTTAGAGCTGATAAGCATAAAAATTCTCTCATGCATGTCTAGTTCAAGTCTTGTGCTTCTGACTGGATTTAGCCCTGTATGTATTAGTGTGTCAGGATGTTTGCTGTCTCTTGTCACTTTCCCTCCACCATCACTGCTTTCTCTCAAACTCATTTTTTCCCTCATTCCTTCTGAGTCACAAGCCTGGCGAGAAAACTGCAGAGAGAATAGTCCTGTGTTCCTCCACTGTTTCAGGACGTCTGCAGGAACTCGATGTTCTCACAGTCGCACCCTCCACAGCTTAAGCATAAGGGTACAGTACAACTAGCACTACTGCAGGAAAAAGGTGTGTGTGTGTGTGTAAGTAGAAAAAAAATATCCCTGTCTCTGTTGTCTGGGTGAAACAATAGCAAAACTGTTACATTCACCTTTAGGGCTGTTAGTTACTGACGTGTGCCAAACAATCTCTATTATTTAATAAATGATGAGCCACTCGATAAGCTGTCGCTGCATCTTGCATTCATTTACAACATCCTCCTCCTCCTGACTTCCCCTTTTTGGTGACCTTATGTTATGTAAAAGCTCTGCCTCTCCCAGATGTGTAACTGAGGTGGATGTCTGATGCTTTGTTGATGTTGACCACACCTGAAAATGATGGAATAAAAGGACGTAGATGGAAGACTGTTTATAACAGAGTTGTTATACTGAGGGGAGGACTTATGTTATGTGAGAGTGACAAAGAATCATGGAGCAAGGCTGGAAAACTGAACAGGACATGGTTTAAACAAGTCGATTTTATAAATGTGTTTTTTTTTTAAGTTGATCTATATTGGTTGACTTTGACTATACTGATCTATATTGAATTTTATTTAGTTATAAATATTAAATAATGTTATTTAAAAATAATTTTGCATGCTCGTTTCCTCTATTTTTACATTCTGATTTCCTTCTCAGTCATTGAATGCTCAATTCAAATGAAAGTGTAACTTTGTAACAATACAAAGAGGTTGAAAATTGGCAATGTCGGTAGTATATGTAAATGAAGTTAATGAACAATGTTTACTCATTCTCCATGTTACCTGGGCCAAGAAATTTACATTTATTAACTTTTGGCTTTCGTGAAAACTACAGATTATACTTTTGCATTTTTGTATCCCTGCACAGGGACAGCTGGATCAACAGAGGGTTATTAACAGAACAGTTATTGTAAGGGTAGGGTGATCACTGAAAATTGTATTGAGCTATGTATATTCTTCAAAGAGCGTTGTGGTAAAAATGGAATACTATAGCAACAGCTTTCTTACCTGTACACGACAGTGTTTCACTTCAGGCAGAACTGACAGAACGGCAGTTTCTCTCAGTTTTTTCCCTTCCATTTGGCCTAAAACACCGTGTTTGTGGTCATCCAGTTTGAAGTGTTGATTATAAACATGGAGGTTTTTCAGATTTTTTGTTGCGGCGTTCTCTCCATGATTACGATTCTTTGTAGCCTTTAGTCACTGCCTTCACTGGAAACCAAAAGTAACTCGCTCCCGCTAAACTTTTCTCTTTAAATTCTTGCACCCAGGAGCAATACAAGTCGACACCATTTTGACTGAAAGTTTGCTAAGAAGTATTTCCTACTAAAGCAAGGCAGTATTTGACTCTGGTAAGCAAATCCATAGTAGATTGGTGGGAGTGGCCTTGGACGGCAACATGCCCAGTGCATTATGGGTGGTGAAGTTTTTCTACCTATTTTGCGAAAGGGAAGACAAACGCCTTTTTTTCTGTTTTCTCCTGTCGGGTAGCTCTCAGAATTTTTTTTCTTCTTTTTTTTTTCTTCGCTTTTCTAGTTTCTGCTGTGTAGGAAACCAAGTTTTATTGAAAGTGGTAAAGTACCCCTTTAATCTTTCAAAACAGTTATAATTTTATAACACTGTTAAATGTAATCTGGCAAATTTTAAACTGAATAGTATAAAATACAAAATAGTATAACATTTTTATATTGACCATTTATTGGTAATAATTATCATCTGTATTAGCCAGAATTGTAATATACTGTAGATTGATCCCTATTTATAACATTATGAACCACAGTGATATAAAATTACTCATAGCTAGATATGAGAATTCTCTCATACTGCCCACTCCTAGCATTTGAAGTGTTTAACAACTAAAAACAAGTCTGCTAGTAATGAATGAATCCTTGACTGTTACACACAGTTTAGGGTCCGTTCTGTGTTTGCTTTGCAATCCTATGCAGGCTAGGCTTGAATCATGTAGCTTAGCTCTTGTGTAGTGTATTACATAGACGATAAGAGCAGGACACTTATAATATTTGTTTTCCTCATGACAAGGATTAACGTCTGGAACACAGCATGTTTTAGCAGGTATGAACTACAGCAAATCCACGCCTGGAAAATGTCAATATTGATATAGAGATGAGCAGCTCTGATGAGTCTTGGTTTGTACATCAGCGCTGAAAGTGGTGAAATGTTTAGGAGACATGATGGCGAAGCCTCATCTGTTTGACATAACACTCTTACATAACAATAATTATGTTGTTTTTTATCTCTTTTCGCTGATGAGGCGTTTCGTATAGCCCCCTTTATAAACAACTAATTCTCTATTGCATGTTAGAGTTTTGTTTAAGTTTATTGACAAAGGGTTGAGAGTAAATCTGTATCTAGATTATCTTAATTCTTCCTTATTTGAACTTCTTTATCAGACCTTCTTGTTGTTCTGAGATGTTTGCCAAACTTTTGCATTGGCATAATAGTTGGTTTTACCACTCTTTCAGTAATTGCATAATATAATTTGCCCTGCATGAGCTGTTCTTGCAGCTCAATTGTATTAGGTAGGTTTAATCGATTGCTTGTTGGCTGTTGGGTCATGACAGTCTCCCGATGTGAACCCAGCTTCAGTGATTCCCAGGCTGATTTTTAGTTGACTCACGAGTACATCCGCTTCTGTTGCATGAACCTCATATTGAACTTGTACAAAACACTAGCCCAGTCAATCAACTCCTTGATGGCTCATGTGATAACAGAGGGCCTCTTTGTGTCCACAGAAACAGTCAGGCACACGGTGGGTAACAGCATGGGTTCATATTTATCTGGAAATTTGATTCACTGAAAGGTGTTATTTTCACTGACCATGAGGCTCAAATTAAAAATTGTTGCTATTTTTTAGAAACGTTGTATATAATTTGTCAGAATATGGTTTAATATGAATGAATGAATGAATATTTGTAAATTATGAAATGTCCTTAACACTAATAATATTAACAGTATAATATATTTTTTATATAATGTCAGAGTATCTTTAAATAAATAAATAAATATCAAATACATTATTTAATATTTTAACAATTATTATATTTTTTATATTTCTTCATGAGACAAATTTACAACAAAATATAAATTGCTGATAAGGGATAATACATATTGTTGCTATTTAAATATTTTTTTATAAAGCGTCAAATGAAAATATTCTTATTGTTTTAAATGCAATTAATTTATTAATAATAATTCATCAATTGACATTCATTAGCATAAATGATTGTATATAATTATATATACAATTATAATAATAAAAATAAGAATATATAATAATAAATAATTATTTCTAAAAATAATTTGCAAAAAATAAAAATTGTTGCTCTTTTTTTATACAATTTTTAATTATTATATTTAAATACAATTAATTTCTGAATAATAATTCATTAATTTATTAATAATAATTCATCAATTGACATTCATTAGCATAAAATAATTGTATATAATTATATATAAAATTACAATAATAATAAAAATAAAAATATATAATAATAAATAATAATTATTTCTAAAAATAATTTGCAAAAAATAAAAATTGTTGCTCTTTTTTTATACAATTTTTAATTATTATATTTAAATACAATTAATTTATGAATAATGAATTGGGTCATTGACATTCATTAGCATAAATCCTATAATGTATCTTGACAAGACAGATTTACAACAGATGACTAAATGCAGCACTAGCCTGCATTGCCAAGCCGTATTTGAGCCAAGTATCCAGCGTTTGTCACATCTGAACATCTGAATTCCCCCTCCATTAAACCATGCAGGCCTCTGAGAGTCATAAGACTGTAATGAGGCTCATCCAAGAGGCTCTTTCTCTTGAGCTAGCTTCTGATGCCTTTTATCAGTGTCGGGATATGGTTTGTAAAATAAAGTTTTATGTCATAGCACGTGCTGCTTCTGATGTCATGCCTTTACGGTTATTTATTCAGTAATGCTTGATGAATGTGACTGTGTGTTACAGATCATAGAGTCTCTGGGTATAATGATCTACAAGGCTTTGGATTACGGGCTGAAGGAGCATGAGGAGCGAGAACTCAGCCCTCCTCTGGAGCAGCTCATCGACCTCATGACCAACATGGCAGACACAGAAACAGACTGTCCTGATGAGGGATACGAGGCAACGGAAGAAGAGGACGAGGGAGAGGAAGAACCGGCAGAAGTCTCAAACATTCGTGGCTACCGTGACATCATTTCTGTAAGTATTGATAGATCATTATACATCGGGTTATAATCAAAATTTTATCATTTTATTAACTCTTTCCCTGCCATTGACGGAATTTTCCGTAGTTTATGACTCAACACTTGGAATTTTGGACACTCTGGAGATTATCACGTGAAACAAACAATACCCAATCAGAAAGCGAGTTGACAGAATACTCGTCTCCAGCTTGCGCTGTAATATGCAAAGTCCATGTTCACACCGTCTCCCCGACTTCACCTAAACATTTTCCTTTCCCCCCCCTGTGAATCTTTGGTAAAAAAGCAGTCCATACACTATAAGCGCCATTTCTTCTAGCCGGTCGTCCGCCATGTTTGTTTACTTTAAAGTCACGTTTGATGCGAGGGATTTTGCGAGATTTCCTGTGTTCAGAGGCGGGACTCTGGTTGTTTGTGAATGGAATCTGTAAGTGTGTGTTGTGCTTTCCTGGTCAGATTGATGCACTCCACACACATTAGAGGAACAAAATGGTTAAATCTATGATTTCTTATCGTCATGTTTGTGGTCTCTCACATTTGAAAAATTTTTTAGTGTGGCCCCAAGCTTAAGCAGCATATAAATCAAAACTGCCTAATGTTACAGAATAAAAGTCAGTCAGTACCATGAAAAGCTACTGACTGTGAAGCATAGGAGGTGTTGATGGACTCGATCTACCCCATCTATGTTTCGATCATCATTTTGAATCTGAATCCGATCTGGGCGAAGCATTTGACGCTATTTTCTCAGCTTTTTGTTCAAAATGTTTTTATGAAACTCACCCACATTCAAGTGTTGATAAAAAAAAGAATACACGAGGCTAGAGTAAAATGTCGTTTGAGTAAAATGTTTTGTCGTTGATAAATAAAAAATTATAGCGCTGACTGACAAGATAAAAAAAAAGTTAAAATCTTATTGAAATATAGATTTTTAATTAAATATAATGTGTACGATATAATCCATATAGAATTTTTATACATTTTTACATAAATAAAAAAAGTCCAGTTTTCTCCCTTTGTGGGTCCTGGGAAGCAAGATCTTGGATTGATCTATTCTCTCTTAAGATCTGTGAATGTTATTTACTGAGAGATACTCTCTCCGCTGATATTCATTATGCTACTCCCTCAGGCCCACTCCACTTACATATTACCCTGAGACTCCATAAAGGCCTTTAGTCACTTATCAGCAGTTATTTAAAATCATATTTATCAATACGCTAATGTAGAAAATCTTTACGAGCTGTGTAAAGAAAGAATACGACCAGAATGTGTGCGCGCAGATACTAGCTTTAGCATGAGTTAACATCGTAATAAGCAGTACCTTTAACTTGCTCGCCATGAAAATACATATGGAAAGATAAACCACATGCATCAAACTACAACATGCATCTGGTAATGGTCAGTGTGGGTCACAGTACGTTCTGCATTATTCTGCAGGACCTTTTCAGGACAAGTTAGATAATCTCTGTCCTTTCATGCCTTCCTTTCTGTCTCTGAGGACAGAAACGAACCGTGACATTAGATTTCTTCAAGCTGACTGACTGTATTTATACTCTGCCTGGTGAAACCTTTTAAATTCTTTAATTAGACAGTGAAAGGTTTACAAAAAAGATAAAGATAGTGTACTACCGTTGAGACATGCCTCTTTTATTTTATCGGCCCATTCGCTTGGAATGGGAAAGTTTAAGAACTTTGTGGAGCATTCGTTTAACATCCTCTGCCTTCAACTCTTATTTCGCTTCGTATCTTCCTCCTGTCAAGTCTAGCAGGTTTCCCCCCCTAGGTTGTATTCACTTTCCCTTGGCGTAGTCAGTATTCTCGTCAAGCGTGATTCCTCAGCAAGACACGTCATGGAGATAGTGAATCTACGCTGTGTAAGACATTCCTCAAGAGGGCAGAGCTCAAGGAAGGTGTGGGGAAAAATGTCATTAAGCCGGTTGGAGGTGTCTTTGGTCGGAGTAATTGTATATTTAAAATGCGTGTCATGCTCAAACTATTATACCTGGGACACTGAACTTTAAACGGGCCTGTGTTTTTCAGCTGCTAGGCATGCAAGCTTTGGGTTTGGCTCTCAGCTATGTGCCAAATCATAATGTGTAATGCAAGAATTAACTTATTAGACCGATTCAGATGATGATTTTCTTAAAGTCTGTGAAAGATGCAAGGATTAACTTCTCAGACAGAGATGGAGGAGACATGCATTGACCTTAAAATGCACTTCTCTCCTCTAAAAACCCTGTGAACTATTTTAGGAAAGAGACTTCTTGACAAACAGAGCAATTAGTAAAGATTTGTAGTCGTAATGTAACCAATTTGCTTGTGAATGGGGCAAAGCAGTGGAATGTTTGGGAGCATTGTTGTGTATAGTATATTTATAGCAACATTCAAATGGGAAATAATAAAAATAAAAAATTACATTTACCCTGTCATTGCTTGTTTGGTCTCAGTCTAAGGGACAACAACGTTTCAACATCTGGTCATATGATGGTTGCCCAAACAAATGGTACTCTAGACTAGCGCAGGGTTTCCTAAACTGGGGTTCATAAACCCCAACTGCACGGGGTTTGTGAGTAGATGAAAAACTAATAATGAATTAAATCCTAAAAATGTAACATTTAAATAAATAGATACTTTTAAAATAATTGAAATCTAAATAAAACATTTGAAATATTGCTAATAAAATAATAATAATATTAAAAAATGGAAATAACTTTTTTTCAGAATTCCTGGTCTCATGCTGTAATTTTAGTCTCACTGTTTTCTCCTCTCCAGCTCTGCACGTCTCACCTCCCCAGCCCAACGGATGCTCCCAACCACTACCAGGCTGTATGTCGAGCCCTGTACGCAGAGACCAAGGAGCTACGCACCTTCTTGGAGAAGATCAAGTGTGCCAAAGAGGTAAAGACCCTCATATTGACTCTCATGTCTACACACTTATTTATGGCACAACTGCCAATAGTGGGCACACACACACACACACACACACACACACATATTATCAGGGTTGTGTTCTCAGTTCTGTGTCATTTATGCAAAAAAAACAAATGAAACGGTCAGCGTCTTACAACAATATTGGTATGATTGGGTGAAAATCAGATGTATATTTACATTGCTGAAAGCCTCATGAGGCTGTTGTGTTTATCAAATAGAATAGAGTGAGTGGGCTGACAGCACAAGTGACTAATAAACAGGCCGTGGACTGTGAAGGTGGATTGAAACCAACAATGCTTTAGTGCATTTTTACCTAACTCATTGCCATACGCTTTTTTAATCAGGGTTTAATACTGTAAATCTTGTACCAATGTTTTCCTAAAGGGCTTTCAGTATTCTCAGACATTTACATATAGATTATCTACACAGATCTGGTATTTCTGTTCAATATTTAATGAAATTCTTCTATAATCCACCACAGTAAAGCTGACAAAATTTAGAGAGAGATTGTAAAGTATTGGATATGTAATTATTTAGGTATTTACTTAATTTTTTTAACCATTTGATTATTATAAATATGTTCTTATTTACCTTTTACCTTTATATATTTGATTTTACGTGCCTCATCATTATTATATTATTATATCTCAAATATTTTCAGAGCCATTTTTAAAAATAAAGCAAGACTTTAGTATGGCAAGCTCTTTAGCGTTGCTTTGAAAGTTAAGCCAATTATTATTGATATAACTGTCAACAAAGTGTTCCAGTGATTTATTAACAAACATTATTATGAAGTGTTATACTTCTATGACATGGTTTTATTTAGATGCTATTAACTCTTAAAAACAATATTTGCATATACTGTAGCATGGCCCTCATTCCATTCATTGGCTAAATGAAAGAGGGACTAAATGTTACATTCAAGTCATGCAGAAACTTTTGAAGAGATTCGCTCTAATCTTTCATCGGTTATGAACATCTTTACCTGTCAATACTTGACATTTCATTAATAAACAGCATACACTGCACTATTATGACTGCACTATGGTATCCATCCATCCATCCGTCCATTTATCCATAAACACATCCATCCATCCATACATACATAATTACATACATGCATACATACACATATGTATCCATACATACATGCATGCATCCATACATTCACCAATACATACACCCATAGATACATACACGTTGTTTATGCATCCATACATGCATACATGCATGCAATATGGACAAAAGTATTGGGACACCTGACCATTGCACCAACAGGGACTGTGATAAAATCGCATTCTAAATACATAGACATTATTATGGAGTTGGTCCCCCCGTTGCAGCTATAACCGCTACCACTCTTCTGGGAAGGCTTCCCACTTGGAGTGCTTCTGTGGGAAATTTTGCCCATTCATCCCATTGAGCATTTGTGAGATCAGGCATTGATGTTGGAGGAGAAGGACTGACCCGTAATCTCCATTCCAGTTCATCCCAAAGGCTGGGACACATATCTCACAGCCTGTGCTGCTGTCTGTCCCTATATTATCTTTATTTGTTCTACTTCAGTCATGGCTGTAAAGTTCTTTATTAAGTTTATGCATTTTTTTTTTTTAATGTGGAGGTCTCTTATTGATTTAAATCTGTGACCGTGAAGGAGGAAGTGCATCTCTGTCTCAATCTCTCCTGTCCTACAGTGAGCACACACTCTTTGCTCTCTGCATAACCAGCTCTTTCTGAGTCTGCCAGCCTCAATGACTAGACTGTGCTCACTGAAGCCTGTACATGGTCCGGATCAGTCTCTGCTTTGTCTCTGACACTCTGAGGCATTCTTTCAATTCATAATATGATTTTAGAGTTCAATTGAATTGTAATTGTGTTTTAGCTTCTTGATCCCAGTGTTCCAGTTATGTATTTTTAGATTTTGAGGGATCTTTTTTGCATATTCATAATCAATAAGAAAATTAAAATCTTGCCCTACATGCATTAATGGGTAGTGTGTGTGTATATGTATATATATAAAGTATACACTACCCATTACTACACACATACATATATAATGTGTGCATTTCATTTTATTACTAAGGCTCGTAAGAAGCAGTTTTAAGGGGATAGCTGTTTGATCTCCCTAGTCAGACAGGCATGTTCAGCCCATTTTTGTGTAATGTGTTGTTTGTTTAAACTGTCACATGCAATCAAATGGCATGTGAACTTGTAACATGAGCCTTATCCATCTGAATGTGTTCTTTCGCTCAAAGGCATTAGTTTGCATTAACCTGCTTGCTATAGCTCCTAATCCTCTAGCACCAAGTGGCACTGGGTGGAGGTCACATGCTGGTGGGTCGTGGCCTCGTGGGTGAAACAGGAGCAGTTATCATGGGTCTAGAGCAGGGCTGCTCAATCCTAAACCCGAATTTAGTCCTATCTCTAGTCAAACACACCTTAAACCGCTAATCCAGGAACAATTTCACATGCTATCTGTCCTAAATAGTATGCAAGATTAGAATGAGTGCATCATTGAACTTTTAATTTACTGTGGTTCCTGTATGGTTTAATGTTTCTAGTGGATTTTCAAAGCGACTCTATTCCCATTTCACACAACCTTTGCAGAAAGAGTTTGTGGTGATTTTCTGTCTTTTTTTCCCATTGTCAAAAATGTCAGTTTTTCAATGTATGAACCTAAAAGTAAAGTAGTAATGAATTAAGCTAAATGTTATAGATGTTACTTACACTGAACAAATTTGGCGTGGAAACAATTTTCACTTGGTAGTTGCAAGTAAATTTCACAAATCATTACAAAGAAAAGAACAAGTAACACATTGAATAAAACATGACATTTTAAAGTAGAAAGAATGAAATAGTATTTTCTTGTAATATGTACTCCAGTAATCTTTATTTATTAACTACACAAAACAAGCCAATTTATAGTGTGCAACAGCTTATCAAGATTGAATTTTTATGACGGTCGTCTTTTTGCATGTTTAACATTTGCTAGTGAAAAGTTCATGCACACACCTACTCAATCTTAATAGTTCTGATTTTCACATGTTAAATAATAGTGAAGTCATCAAAAAAGTGTGAAATAACATTGACAAATTGCACATTGATTGTGAGTAATAGAAGTATGAGAATTTCTTTGCAGCCCAGATCAATTGCTCAGCTGAATATTACTGGGAGGTGTGTTAGTTAGATGAAGTTTTGAACTGAATGCTGCACCATAGTAGATTTTTAGAAGCTGGATTGAATGAGCTCCCCTGCTTTAGAGGAGAAGATGAGTGAAGAGAGCGAGTGGAAAGGGGCAGAAAAAGGCAGAATCTGCTGTGTGGTTCTTTTGATTTTAGCTAGATTGACAGAAATAGTCTCGCTCTGATGATTCAGAGCTTTTTTTTTCTCTGTGTCTGTTTCTTTTTCTTTCTTATGCATCAATGAATTCCTCCTTTTTAGATTGTGTTTTGTGATGCAGCACAGTTGTGTTTGATTTAAGAGATCAGACTCTGGTGATTTTGCAGTCTTTCCCCCTCCTCAAAGTAGAAGTGTGTGTCCCCTCTGGGCTTTACCCAAAGGAATTTAATAAGCAATCCAGGCGGCAGCAAAAGAATGATTTACTGTTCTGACCATAAGCCTGGTTTATATCATTTGAAGGCTATGCCAGAAAAAAAATCCTAATTTAATTATACACATTTTAATTTGTCTTGTGATGGTAAATCTCATTTATTTTGTTGTGAATGTCAAACCACTCAAACTCAAAACAAACAGGTTGAGAGCATATTCTGAGCTAAAGTCTACTAAACACGTTTTTATAGTTTTTGTCGTTGGTTGCAGGTGGCACAGCCATTACCACCATCATTGATGCTGTTGTCCCAACTTCAACCCTGTGTGGAAATGACCTTTTGCCAGTGTAGTGTAGACTAGTTAAAGACTAGATTTAGCTGCATATTGATCATGCTACAATATTGATGAATTAATATTGTCCTACTTACTTGGACTGTCTGTCACATGAGAACAAATCGATTTACAAACAAGCCAGACCCACAATGGTTAAAGCGACATTGACTTTTTCTTATTTTAACACCAGACTGAGGACAATCTAGGCCATCTGTTACACCAATTCTGAATACATTTTATTGAATATTTCCTGGGATTTCTAGTACATTGTACATATATACAATATGCAGTGTTGTGTGTTTGTATATATACAATATCTCACAAAAGTGAGTACACCCCTCACATTTCAGCAAACATTTTAGTATATCTTCTCAAGGGACAATACTATAGAAATGAAACTTGGATATATATATTTTAGAGTGGCCAATGTGCTGCTTGTATAGCAGTTTATATTTACTGTCCTCTGAAAATAACTCAACACACAGCCATTATTGTCAAAATAGTTGGCAACAAAAGTGAGTACACCCTAAGTGAACATGTCAACTGTGTCCAAAGTGTCAATATTTTGTGTGAGCACTGAGCACCATTGTTATCTAGCACTGCCTTAACCTCCTAGGCATGGAGTTCACCAGAGCTGCACAGGTTGTCGCTGGGATCCTCTTCCACTCCATAATGACATCACGGAGCTGTTGGATAATAGTCACATGGCGCTTCTCCACCTTCCGCTTGAGGATGCCCCACAGGTGCTCAATAGGGTTCAGGTCTGGAGACATACTTGGCCACTCCATCACCTTCAGCTTCCTCAGCAAGGCAGTTGTCATCTTGGCTATGTGTTTGTGGTCGTTATCATGCCGTTCGGCCCAGTTTCTGAAGGCAGGGCATCATGTTCTGCTTAAGTTTGTCACAGTACAAGTTGGAATCCATGTTTCCCTCAATGAAGCGCAGCTCCCCAGCACCAGCCGCACTCATGCAGCCCCATACCATGATGCTACTACCACCATGCTTGACTGTAGGCAAGACACAATTTTCTTGGTACTCCTCACCAGGGCGTCGTCACACATGCTGGACACCATCTGAGCCAAACAAGTTTATCTTAGTCTCATCAGACCACAGGACATGGTTCCAGTAATTCATGCTCTTGGACAGGTTGCTTTCAGAAAACCTTCAGCCAGCTTCAGAAGAGGCTTCCTTCTGGGATGACGGCCATGCAAACCGACTTGTTGCAGTGTCCGGTGTATGGTCTGAGCACTGACAAGCTGAACTTCCGCTTCTGCGACCTCTAAAGCAATGCTGGCAGCACTCATGCGTCTGTTTTTTTAAGCCAGCTTCTGCACCTGACGCACAGCACGAGGACTCAACTTATCTGATTGACCCTTGCGAGACCTGTTCCAAGTGGAACCAGTCTTGAAAAACCTCTGTGTGATCATGGCCACTGTACTGTATCTCAGTTTCAGGGTGTTACCAATATTCTTATAGCCTAGGCCATCTTTGTGGAGAGCAACCATTCTACTTCTCAAATGCATTTCTACATAGGAAAATGTTTTTATAAATAAAATTGTATATATTTTATATATATTTTTTTTTTTTTCAGTTTTGAGAATTATATATGTCTATGGACCCCTTGCAGGATCTTCACAGCCCTCTTCTGAAACCTGTGGAATATGTCTTAAAATCTTTTTCTGTCTTTTTTTTCTTTCTCAGAATTTGCGAAAGATGGAAGGAGAAACACAGGAGCCCGTCAAAGACCTGAATGAGTTGCAAAATGCTGACTGGGTAAGAGCAATACCACAAGCCAAAATAATGGTGCTGAATGCATTCAGACTGGGCTCTGTTAAGAGTGCACTTTAGTTCAGGATGTGTTTTTCCACAGGCACAGTTTTGGGTGCAGGTAATGAGGGACCTAAGACATGGTGTGAAGCTGAAGAAGGTCCAGGAGCGTCTATATAACCCTCTACCCTTCGAGTACCAGCTCACGCCTTATGAGATGCTCATGGATGACATCCGCTCGCAACGCTACAAACTTCGCAAGGTCATGGTTAGTGTGGACATGTATAGATAAATATAGGAATTGATAAATCCTGAATTGGGTTGCATGACTGAATACTGACTGTTTTCAGAGCATATCTTGTGATTTCAGCATCTTTTTAAACTTTTTTTCTCCATGAACAAACAAGCATGAGTCACTTTTTCTTTTTTACCAACATTAGTCAGTCAGTTCAATTCACTTTTATTGCTGTTTGTTACAGAGATCATAAACCAAAACAATGTTTACTTTGCTTATCAGAATTCAAGCAGGCTTATTTCTGAAGCTGCAGGGTAAAAAAAAAGAAGTTTTATAGCGTTGAACTGGATCAAGTGAATGCCACTGAAAACAGTATATCAAGATGGCTGGAGGTTATTGTGTAGAAATAATTGTGTAGAGAGCTGCCACGTCAGAGTCAACACCTTGCATGATAGGCCAATTTAAACCTAGTGAGGTAATGGGTCAAATTTTTATCCAACAAGCCTCCAGTTATTAATGCAGAGACAATAGCACATAGCTGTCACTAATAATATTTTAATGCATTCTTCAGACAGGACACTTGTTTGAAACGTGTCCAGTGCATTCTTTTCTGACTCATTGCAAATGACACAGACTTTGGGTTTTAGTTTACTGACAACATGTGCTTATTGTAAAGAGCCTGTCTGACCTTTGATCCCTGCTGTGCCTTCTTTTTACTGTAGGTCAATGGTGACATTCCTCCGAGGTTAAAGAAGAGTGCCCATGAGGTCATACTGGAGTTCATTCGATCCAGGCCTCCACTGAATCCTGTAAGCATTAAAGCACACAAAAATACACTTACTTTGGTCATTTGTGAGCTGGAGTATCTTTATAATTAAACAAATCTATTTATACAAATTATACACCTATTACCACAAACCTTTCAACCATTGATCCCTTGTGTGTTTGGATGTGCTTTAAGGCTTCTGCTCGTAAGCTTAAGCCTCATCCTCAAATACCTCCAAGTCTTCATGAACGTATCCTGGAAGAGATCAAGTCGGAGAGAAAGCTGAGGCCTGTCTCACCCGACATGCTCCGTAGAAGTCGACTCGGTTAGTGCACTTCCACGCACTTCATCACATCATTGATGCATATGACTAAAAACATAAGCTGGACTACATATACTAATAAAAAAAACACTGCCATTTTTAATTCTGCCATTATATACAATACCAGTCAAACATCTGGGGACATCTACTCTTTCTTTATTTTTTTATTTTTCAGATTTAAAAAAATAAAATAAAAATAATAATCATTAGATGATAATTCAAATGTAGGCACAGTTTCTAAAGATTTAAGCATAATCAAAAGGTTTTTAAGATCATGGGGAATATTTTAATCAAGTGTGTCCACATTTTTGACTGCTAGTGTTCATCATTTATCAGTGCACCATTTCTCCATGTTTATCGTTCTGTGCACAAATATTTTTCCAAATACCTTCTATTCATATGCTATATACAATATCTATTTTACATAGCATTGTATTTACATTAAAACCTTGCTTCATGCTGTTAACCTAAATATCAAGTATTTCAGTCATGTGGAGGGAGGTGAGTACTGTATGTGTCGATGTGATAGAGATTGACCTCAGGTCTTGACAGACAGCAGTACAGATGTGTGACAGTGTGCCATTCTCATGCATGGCTGCTCGTGTTATACTGAACCATTGCAGTTTTCAATTGTCTCTAACAGTGTTTGTAGTAAAGCCCTGTGTCTCTAACTCTTGTGCTGCCCATTTAATTTACAGCTGTAAATCTCTAATATTTCTCTCACCTTGAATTGATACTGTAGGTTTTTAAAATGTATTTATTCACTTTGTTACACAAGATTAGATTCATGTAACATACTGTACATCAGCTCCATTGATATTTACAAGGTTATATAGAGGGTACGTAATCCTAATAGTGTATTTGCCCTGAGATTTGCTCTGTAGAATTCAATAGTTAAAGATTGTAAGGTTTTAAGTTGAATGTGCGCATATACATAAAGGCCTTTAGGCTCTTTGTGTGGATGATTGTACAGTTACACAAGCACAAATCTGCCAATCATTATATCAGACTGATCCATGTTGGATAAATGTCTCAAGATTTAAGTCGCTTGCAGCAGACTTAATAAAGCTTAAAGTTTGCATGCCATGGACGTATTTTCAGTTTGTGTGGTGAAAAGAGTATTGTTTTCTCCATCTGCCTAAAGAGACAAAGTTCAGAGTCTACAGTCTATATAAACCTTTAAAACTTAAAGGAGATTATCATCATAATATCTACTGTATGTTTTGTGAATAGTTGGACTGTACTTCAGTATTTCACATTTTAAATTTAAGGTTAAATAGTGGTTGCCCGGTGCAAAATTGTGATAAAAAAAAAACTTAAAACACACTTGATCTTAAATCGTTTTAAGAAGTTGATTGTATGCCACTGGTTGTGTGAATGTGCTATCCATTATATGTTGTCAGAAAGCTTCATCAGTCCTCAGTTTCGTAATGTGAATCATAGCTTTGTCAGTTTTACTTGCATAGTGGTTGTCTGGTATAAAATTGTAAAAAATAACATGGATTCTTTCTTGATCCTAAAAGAAATTACATGTTATTTGACTGCTCAGTTGTAGAATTGTGTTCCTGTTTATTAACAGATTTACAGAAAAGCATCCTTTATATCTGACATTGAATGCATAACATTTAATGCCTTGTTTTAACCCATGGCTTTATTTATCTTCTCCTCCCTCTCTTTTCATCCATAACCTCTGCCTCTCTCTCACAGTAATGCGCCCACTTAGCATGTCTGTCAGTTTTGACTCATCAGGTAAAGACTTCACTGTGGCTTTACCGCTGTTAGCTCACTGACCCTGCTTCTGTGGTTGTGCCTGACCTCCTCGGTCACCCCTACCCTCATGTCACGCTCCTCCGCTGGTGGGGTCGTGGCATTGATCCTGATAGTCCTCAGAGGAGGAAGAGGACAAGGCAGTGCCTTCAGTCTAAAGGAAATCCTTCTTACATTATCAAAATTGATAGAAGTCTGTTTAGACCAGGATCGCATTCTGGAAAGGCTGGAATACACTACACAGCTTTTGCCCCTATTTGCAGTCTGGACAAGTTGATGCTTGATAGTTGTTGACAAATGTCAGAGTCAGTCTGCAGATTTTGGTCAGTTGGAGTTTTTTAATGTTTTGAGACAATTTTAGAACACATTGTTTTCATTTGTCATGCATTTCCTAGCAATAAGGCACGTTTCTGTGCGGAACGACTTGAAAGTCTGGTAGTGTGTGATCCTCAGTCATTTACACTGTGACGCGACAAAGCGGCCATTGCAAATCCATTTGTTTTTCTTGTCAGAAATAGCGTGAGCACTTGAAGTTGTGGCATCAGTTTACTGTCGGTAATTTTTGTCGCGTCATGCCGCATCCAGTGTAGACAGCATCACTGATTATAATGGGTTGGGTTCTATGTGCTTTTGTCACGTCGTGTCACGCCGTGGTATGGTTCTTGTAAGTGTGAATTAGCTTAATGTAATGCAAGACAAATTTCAGACTTTGTCTGACAATAAAGTTATATATCATATAATATTTCTGGTGTATACACGGTGTTTGTGAATGGTTAGAGAAACTTTGGCATCATACACTGAGTTGTCAAGTGTATGATGCCTCGTGTTTTAAAATCTGTTCAGATTTTAAAAAGTCATGTAGTGTATTCCAGTTTCAGGAATATCAGTTATTACAATTTTAGCTGTGTACGGTATATAAAGGTTTATTGTGAAACTTCAGGCTGACCAAGTAAGACACATATACAATCAAATAAAACCCAGATATAGAGAATAAGCAATTCTTTAAGCAATGACTTACAGTATTTGCTTATCAGTCAAATCTATTAAATTATGGACTCTCTTCCATGTTTGTAGCCATCTTTAATACATTTGGTTATGGTTGTTAAGATTGACTTGGATATCCATTGCTGTGGCCTGTGAATAGAGAGTAACTCTCATGTCCTGGTTCTTATTGTAATTCTTAATAACCAGATGATATTCTTATCTATGAATAGACTTTGGTTATACAAATATATACCATCTTTAATTTGACGGCAATGAAAATGAGGCATACATGGGGGTATATATATAATTTAATTATTAATTTATGGTGGTATCATGTTTTTTTCCATCCACAAATGTTATGAACAAGGAGATCCTCCCTAGAAAGTAACAACCAAATACATTTTTAGTTAAAACAACGGAATAAAATGATTTGTTAAATAGATTTAAAACAAATGCGTTTTTTAATTGATAGCTCAAGTTAATAAGTATGATGCAAGTATATTAATTTTGACAGCCCTAAAAATGCATGTTATCCACTTCCCCCTGGGAGTTTCCAGACACCGTTTTTAAAAACCTTGATATAAGGAGTGTTCACACTAGGTATGTTTCCATCCAAAGTTGCAAATTAAACTTGGAAGAATTAAACTTTCGTATAAAACAAACACTGTCGTGTTATCTTGCATTCAGAGGTGTGAGATAGTTCTGGCAGGTAATTATACCAAATCATTTTGATGACACTTTGGCTTAGGCATTTCAGAATATTGACAAAATTTTAGATGGTGTGCAATGAGTTTGGTCCGCAAGTTAGTCCAGTTATCCAATCGCATGATCTGTTGAGGCAGTCACGTGATTTCTTTTTCTTTTTATGCATCCAGGAATTTTCAGGTAAATGCGTTTCCATCATAGTTTATGCAAATGTTTTGTTACAGAATAAAACAATTATTCAGCTCAACTGAGCACGTTTTTTTTAAGCGTATTTTAAGATTTTATGTGCATCTTGTCATTTTCATTCAGTTTTTTTAAATGCCATTTCCCAACATTTACATATAAATATGTGGATGGAAACATAGCTACTGACTGCATTTTGCAGCAGCATATTTCATTTCCAATGAGAGTTGGTAATTTCTGACAACATTAGTGACCGCAAGCTGAGCTTTTACGCAAATGGAAGCAATGCGGAGTTAATCACTGACGGTGTTTAATGAATAAAGCCCACTGCATTTCCTTCTCTTGCAGCCTTGTTTTCATTTGCGTTACATTAAACAAACCATATAAACTACGGCCAATTGTTTTTAAATTCTAAAAGCGTTTTTCCTAGCCTCCAATATGGCTGTTTGCACCGGACTTTCCTGTATAATTCCTCCCTCTGCTAGCGCACACTTCTTTCCACCTCCATATCCCACTAATCCTCTGTCATGTATGGCTGCTGCTTCTCTGTGGATGCACTGTGTTTGTGCTTTATTGTGCTGATGTCACAGTCACAAGTTAGACTCAAAGCTGCTGATTGGTTAACCTAAGTGTGGTTTACACTCATATATTAACTTACTGTGTGAAAGTCAGCTACAGAAAGACCTGTATTGTGCTGTTGGGATCATATTGAAAAATATGTTCCTTTTTAGGCGCAGGCAAAAGTATGAGCACCCCACAGGACTTGTTCCGAAGCTCAGGTAAAGTATTCCTGATGCAAGCATGACTGTCACATCACCTCTGAGCCCAGTGTGAGAAATGCCTGGGTTCTGAGAGCTTGTGTATGAATCAAACACAGATCTCACAGAATTCATTTCTGAATGAGGATTAGTCTAGTTTAAGAGGGGGGTTATGTAACTCTGAGTCTGCAGGCATCAATATTTAATATGCTGCAGTTTATTTTTATACTCTGTCCATCTAAAAATGTTTTTGCTGTTCTAGAAATATCTCACTTGAGGCTCAAATGACGAGGAACATTGACAGATGGATGTCAGATATATGTGTTTTCTTAATATAGAAATGATCAGTATCTTAGCTGTAGTATACTGGTCTTTATTATATTAAATTATTTGATTGTATGCTTTTTGTTGTGTGAGAGTCCCATACATTGTATGTAATGAGACCATTGTCTCATTACATTAAATTACATTACATGATAATTGTCAGTATGAGACCATCTAGTGTTTGGTGTCAGAGATTTCCACTTCCATTCAAAAGTTTGGTTTTTTTATTATTTTAAAAAGAAATTAATACTTTTCTTCAGCAAGGCTGCTTTAAATTAATCAAAATTGACAGTAAGGACATTTGTTACGAATGATTTGTATTTCAAATACCGGTATATGCTGTTTTTATCAACTTTTTATCAACATTGATAAAAATAAGAACTGTTTAATGAGCACCAAATCAGTATATTAGAACGATTACTGAAGGATCATGTGACACTTAAGACGGGAATAATGATGATGAAAATTCAGCTTTGCCATCACAGGAATATATTGCATTTAAATATATATATTTATATTCAAATAGAAAAGTTATTTTTAAATTGTAATAATATTTCACAATATCACTGCTTTACTGTATCAAATAAATGCGAACTTGGTGAGCATTAGTGACTTCTTTTAAAAACATTATCAAAATCTCAACGACCCCAAACTATTAAACCATATTGTTTTTAAACATCATCAATCCATAGCCATAATGTCAATTGTGACTTTTTGTTTCAGTCACTCTGTGACCTAGTTGTCTTCTATTGACTTGATTTTGTGAATTACACTATTTTAATTTGCTATGGACATCAATGCTATGTAATTTCATCACTATATTCTACTGTGCATAACCTTTCACCCTGATACCACCTAGGCCATTTGTTGCTGATTGCAAAAAAAATTAATAATTATAATTCAAAGTACATTAGATATATGATTTGAAATCCAAATAAAATTGATTATTTTTACCTCTAAATTGTCATTTTGGATTTCAAGTGTTTTGTAGCCATTCGAGACATGTATTACTAGCTGTGTCTGTGTCTAATTTTCCCTTATAGTGAAATTCACTATAGTGTGGCATTCGCTATGTAGTAAGTGAGTGAACCGCTTCTTTCACAGTATATCTATGAACGTGTAAATACAGTAACTCATGCGCCTTATGAGTTCAGCAACACAGCGAGATGCCACGATGGACAACATTTCCAGTTTTCCTTCCTCACTTTTCACTTACTGTTTGGAAACTTCCCAGTTTCTTAGCATCAGGCTGATGCTTAAGACACGGCTACCAGACAGATGCAATCTCAGTGCGAACAATTTCAATGTGAACTGTTAGTGCTCAAGATCAGATAAACTATTTGTAGTTGGGTACAGTGTAAACAAAGTCTACTTTTTCCTAATGTGCAAGCCATTGCTGTTCTGATTGGTGCCTGATTATGTCCATAATGCCCATCCACACACAGACATCCCTGACGGACCCCGAAAGTTGGCCGTCAGCACACTGTCCCTGGCCAATGGCACGACGCCGGCTCGGAGCCCTGTAAACGGTGTAGCTGGAGGACAGCCGCTGTCCCAGAGGAAGAGGTTGCTCAAAGCACCTACGCTGGCTGAGCTCGACAGCTCAGACTCTGATGTGAGTGTGTTTTATATTTTCTATATTGCAATAACCCTGCCAAAATGTTGAACCAGACTTCTAGGTGAATCCCGTGGGAGTCAATTGCATTAGCCTCTTTTTCTTACTCCAGGAGGACCAAAACACTCGAAAATCCGACAGCAGCTCCAGCATATCCACCTCACTGGTTGAGGACACATCTCCAGAGTCCGTCGTGGGCAAAAAGAGTAAGAACCATACTGAAATATACAGAACTTTTGTATTTGCAGTCCAACAAATACATGTCATTGACTCTATGGTTCTTTTTCAACTGAAATTTTGCACTCCATTTTGTCTTTTCCCAGTTCCTCCAAAGTTCCTGCCCATATCTTCCACTCCTCAGCCTGACAAACGCTTCGCTCCACAGAGGAGGCACTCCATAGAGAAGGAAGCTCCCACCAGCGTACGCTCTTTCCTGCCTCCGTCTCGCCAGAACTCCAAATCTCTGGTAACTACAACAACCTTTCTTTAGCTCCATGTTTTTGACATGTTCCTGCCTGCAAAGTCGTTTTCCTTGTTGAGTGGATCCCAGGACAGTAAATGAGAATATCTTGGTGTAAAGCAGTCAGTTGGCTGCAGGCTGTGGTCACACTTAACTGTCCTGAGTCTTGTGAAAGTATAATTCGATTCTCAGAAGTCTGTCCAGTGCCGTAGCATTGCAGGCCCTGAGTGTGGAGAGAGAAGAGAGAGAGAGTTAAAGGAGAACTTGTGCTTTCATTTTCAATTCAGAAGTCCAATTAAAGGCTACTCTATGCCATACAGCTGCTTAGGGGGCTTGGATGTATTGTTAGGGGAACGGACTGGGACTGCTCTAGTTTCTCGTCTCATTCTCATTCACACATTGAAAGCAGGTACGCTGAGGATACACATGCCAAAAGGGAAAGATTTTCAGTGAATAATGTCTTGCACTACCGTTCAAAAGTTTGGGGTCAGTAAGATTGTTGTTTTTGTTTTTAAAGAAATGAATACTTTTATTCTGCAATGCTGAATTCTGAATTCAGGAATTCTGTAAATAAATGTTACATTGTTTCCACAAATATTAAAGCAGCACAACTGTTTTCAACATTGATAATAATAAGATATGTTTCTTGAGGACCAAGTCAGAATATTAGAATGATTTGTGAAGGATCATGTGACACTGAGGACTGGAATAACGATGCTGAGAAGAATTCAGCTTTACCATCGCAGGAATAAATTAAATAAAGAAAATGCATTAAAATAGAAAACATTTTTAAGTTGTACGAATATTTCACAATACTACTTTTATTGTATTTTTGATCAAATATAAGTCTTCTTTCACAAAAAAAATAAGTACCCTAAACATTGAACATCCAGTAAGACCCAGTAAGTGCATCATATAATCTATCCGCCTTGATAGGTTTACTACATGAAGCTTAATTTATGAAAAATGACTGCTTCAGATTTAGCCATGCTGACTGTGTTAGGTCCTGTCTAAAAGGATTGTAACTGATCAGGGCTGATTGTGAAACCTCTGAGGTCTTTGAACGGTTGTAAATTTGACAATCACAGACCTTTTACATGAAAATGATTATTTTAGATAGAGTGATACTGTAGTTTTATTGCAGTATACTAGATAGAGAGCTGTAACTGCTCTACTTTCCTTTCCTGCCTTACACTGAAGCTGTCTCCGGACAACAAGGTAAAGCACACATCTTCCACATTCTCATACCCACAGATTATGTTGCATTATTTTGGAGTCATTTCATCACTATTTCATCACTATCTGCAGTGAGATCGCTTTATAGTCTTTCAGCTGGGCTGTTGCTTCATGTGTGCATGTTGCACAGTGTTGCATGGCCAGTAGGGAAAACTGCAGAAGGAAATGAGCCGACACTAAAATCACTTCAGTTACCCGTCATCAAGATGATTTTATGATCATAATGGAAGACAACATTGCTCAACGAACTTCCTCCTTTTGAATAATGCTTAAGTTATGTGCATCATTCAAAGAGTGTTAGATTTTGATAAGTTATAATTAAGATTTAAATAAAAGGGTGAAGTAAGGGATACTATAGAGATAGCCAGCAATATTTGCAAAGTAATAATTATTATATTATATTAGATTGTGCTGTCAAAACGATTAATCGCGATTAATCACATCTAACATAAAAGTTTGTTTACATAATATATGTGTATATATTTTATATTTATATGTATGTCTCTGTGTCTATACTGTATATACACAAACACTCATATATAAATATATGTGTGAATGTGTGTATATGTATACACACACGCATATATATATATATATATATATATATATATATATACATACATGCATACATACACGCACATATATTATATAAACAAAATTTTATGTTAGATGCAATATTAATCGCAATTAATCAATTTGACAGCACTAATTATATATTATATTATATTATATTATATTATATTATATTATATTATATTATATTATATTATATTATATTATATTATATTATATTATATTATATTATATTATATTATATTATATTATATTATATTATATTATATTATATACCAGTGGATAGATATGCCTCATTTTCTTTTTTCCCCATAATTTATAATTTATCAACAATTTAACAGTGTGCTTTTAAAATAGGTTTGTCTTTGCTTTCTTTCTTATACTGGGTTAGTGTTTCTTAGACTTTCTGCCCATTTAAAATATACTTTCATTTACTTTTATTTAACATTTACTTGTTTTATAACATTTAGGGAGTATCAGTGACACTTTTTGTTGTTGTACATGAAACTATACTCCAGTCAGTTTTCAACAAATATCAAATAATAGCCATGTTGTTTTCTTTGGTCAGGCTCACGCATTAGGCAGCGGTCGTGTGGTACGTCCTATTAAACTACATGTTGATGATACTACACCAACACTGGGTGACAAGGGGCATAAAAGCCAATATGAGTCTGTTGTAGTGATGATTTGTCTTGTCGAGTGGTAGTTAAGGTGATTGAATGTGAGTATTAGAGATGTCTATTGGCTTTTATGTGTGCTTAAATCAGTGTTCCTTATTAAATTGGGTAAGGACTAGTCCTGGGGCGCCGTGCATTTTTTTAGCACAGAGAATAAAGATTTCCACTCATCTTCATATGCAAATTTTGCATACAAGGCTTGACGGAGTGTTTAACATTCCTTTAATACTGCTTTGCCGCCATCTCCATTGTGTTGTGGGTTTGTTTCGTGTCGTGTTTGGCAGAGGGTGAAACCCTGTAAAGTCATGGTCTAGCATGTAATAGTTTTTCCATCCCTAATTCTTGGGTGTGACAGCATGGCATGTTTAAATATGCAACATATCCTTCGGCATGTTTGTGAAAGTGATGTGTTTGTTTCAGGAGGAGTTCTGCTACCCTGTCGAGTGCCTGACTTTGACCGTCGAGGAGGTGATGCATATCAGACAGGTTCTTGTTAAAGCAGAGCTGGAGAAGTTCCAACAGTATAAAGAGGTTTATAATGCGCTGAAGAAAGGAAAGGTACATTTTCTCTACTCTTGTACATTCACTGCCCACTATAAATGTACAGCCCAAGCTTTATTGAAATCCTCTTCTTTTTTTTTGGAGCACACCTACTCTATGATGCTTAAAATACTGGCAGCTCACTACAGTAAGTGTTTAATTGTGCAATCTATTCCGTTAGCTTTGCTTCTCGTGTCGGACGAAGAAGTTCTCGCTCTTCACCTGGTCCTACACCTGCCAGTTCTGTAAGAGGTGGGTGGAGCTTTTCATTCATAAATTTAAATAATGAAAACAAAGTAGCGATGTGCAGTGGAATCATATTTCTTCTCCTTTTACTCTCACAGGCCTGTTTGTTCACAGTGTTGTAAGAAGGTAAATGTAACATCTTTAACTCCTTGCTACTTTTGCATTAATATATATATATAATATTTAAAGAGGACCTATTATGGTTTTTGCACATTTTCAACTTTCTTTAGTGTGTAATGTTGCTGTTTGAGCATGAAAAATATCTGCAAAGTTACAATGTCCACTCCAAAGGGAGTTATTCTCTATATTAGTGCGCACTGTTTCTGAACTCCCTGAAACACCTCCATTGTAGTCTTGAGTTTTCTCCCTGGAATGAACATTCCTCATTTAAAATATTCATGTCTAAACCATACGCAAAAAAAAGGGGTGTCAAAACTCGCAGATAGGAACATGCCGAAGCGGTTGACCATTCACAACACACTGACCAATCAGATAACAGTGTGCTTATTGGAAGGAGGAGCTTCATAGAGACAGGAACTAAACAGAGCATTACTCAGTATTTTGTATTTTGAACAGTCAAGCATGAAAATTCAAGTTGACCCCAAAAACAAAATCAAGCATTTGTAAAAAGGGCATAATAGGTCATCTTAAAATAAGTCTCTTATGTTCAAAAAGGCTGCATTTATTTGATCAAAATACAGTAAAAACAGTAATATTGTGCAATATTATTATAATTCAAAATAATATAACCGCTTTCTATATTAATATATTTTAAAATGCAATTTATTCCTGTGATGGCAAAGCTGAATTTTCAGCAGCCATTACTCTACTTTTCTGTGTCACATGATCCTTTGGAAATAAATAAACTTATTATTATTATTATTATCAGTTATCACTGATTATTATCAGTTACTTGAAAACTGTGATACATTTTTTTTCATTTTCTTTGATAATTATTTTGTAACATTATCAATGTTTTACTGTCACTTTTGGTCAATTTGTTGCATCCTTGGTGAATAAAGGTATTAACGGTATTAATCTGACTGACCTCAAACATTTGAACGATTGTGTGCATTTTTCAATTTGCTAATGACCTCATATCCTCTCATCTCAGATGAAGTTGCCCTCCAAGCCCCATGCCAGCCTACCCATCTCCTCTCTGGGCCCCAGCATTCTGCCCAAAAAGGAGTCTGGAGCATCAGCCCCGGCAGAGAAGACCTCCTCCGCATCCAGCCACAAGCGCCACAGCCTTCAGCGTTCCTTGTCCAGGTGAGCTTCAGAAATTATGAGTATCATCTGTACCACGGTAAGGGCGTCCAGTAAGAGTATTTCTTGTCACGATCCCTCTCAGATCATCAAAGCACGGTGAGCGCTCGTCCTCCAAAGACGAGCTGGAGCTTCCCGAGCAGTTCACAGAGGACTGGAGCACCATGGAGGTCTGCGTGGACTGCAAGAAGTTCATCAACGATATCATCAGCAACAGCAGGCGTAACCAGACCACCAAACGTGCCCGTCTGCACCGCAGGACCCATTCAGTCTACATGTCCAACACCAGTTCTTCCCACTTCAAACCTTCTGAACGGACTATCAAAGAGGTTTAGGATCCCAAGTGCTTGGAACTTTCACGGTGTGGTCCTTCCCATTAAAACGTTCCTGTTTATACTGTTCTCGCCTGTTGTGAACGTGCCAGACAGAAATAAGCTTGCGATGTAAAAGGTGTTTTGTTACCTATGACAGTACGGCCACTTTTATTAGCTTTGTAACGTACCTTCGATACCTCTTCTTTTCCATTTAAAAAGTGCCAGAGGTGAAGGAATAAAGCCGTCCCTCTTCCAGCATGAGTCCTTAAGCACCAGCCTTCTCAGGAAATGGTTTGATTCTGTGATTGGAGCTTTGGAATGTAGTTTAACACACTTTAAACTTATTTTGACCAGCTTTTCTTAAAAACAGATGAATCTGAATTAACACGGAATGAAATGAAAATGACAGTGTGAAAAAGAAAACGCAAGGCTGCTTTGATTACTGAAAGAACCAAGGCCTGAATGTACATTTTTCAATATAGGAAAGAAAAGTGGTTCAATTGTATGTAAATAGTTACTGAATAATCAGCCTAAATGTTATAGATGTAAATAGGCATCCAAAAGGACTAATTTTCCCCTTTTAGGAAGAACTAGTCGACCAAGAAGACTGTTGATGAACTCAGCCTCCACAACAATTCAAGATCAAGTCTTACCAAATGTTTTTCTTATTGTTCGTTAAAATCGCTGCTGTAATAGTGACACGGTCCAAATGAATGGCGTTTTAGATAATTACAGAGAGTACTTATACAGATATATATTTTTCCTCTGTCTGATGGCAGTGTTTTTGAGCTTTTAGTCAAAGACGAGGGTAAAGATGTGTGTTTTTTTAGAGCGGATGCTAAAAGCTGTAGTGTTTCGGCTGTGCCAAACAAATCTCCACAATCTGAGCAATATGTGTCTTGGACCTGATGTACATAGTCAATAACATTTAGCGGAGACAGTGACGGCCCGAAGGGGGAAACCAACGCTTTCTTTTAAATAGGAAGTGACTTTTGTAGGATATGTTGTTTATGTACATATGCTGTATATCTGAATCTCATGTGATCCACTGATCTGTTAAAATAGGCACTATTGTTATAAAGTTATATGATTTATATTATTAATAATGATTTTTATTTTTAAGTGTCAAATTTCGCTTTTCTTTTCATGTTCATTTTGAACCTTCACTCAACTTCTAAATATATTTTGTAATATTTCAACTATGTTTATTTTGATGTCTTAAAACTTTGTAAATTATGTTATATTATATTATTAATTACCCATGTTGTGCAATGAAAGACCCTAGGAGTCTTTAACATCTCGTAATATGAAGGTACTTAAGTCATGTCAGGGTTTTTGGAAAGATTTGTTCAGTTTTTCCTTACTTAATAAAACACGTGCACACTTATAAATACACATGCACTGCGATGGTATACAGGCCTGTTGACTTGTTCTTCTGTTTTGTGCAAAACTGACTGTACTGCCTTCCTCTAAGCTAAAGAATGATTGGTATGCATGATGAAATCTATGATTTTTTTTAGACTAAGAAACAGAATTGCCAATAAATAAAGCATTTGAAATTTGAACATTTGAAATTGCATTTGATATTATAACATTCATCATCAGACTGGATATGTCAAGGAATAATAAATCACATACCTCTATGGAACCCTAATAAAGAAAAAATATATAATCAGTTAGGATGTATTTAATGATGCTGGCAGTTTAAATGAGATCCATTATATGAAATGTACTCAAGCCTCAAGATAATGCAAACTTTTCCACATATTATTACCTGAATATTGATTGTCTCTGTAAGCTATTTTTAAACTAGTGACAAACTTATGGGTAAACGGTAGGGTTTCTAGAGTAATTTAGAAATCATGTTTCATGTTTTCTCCTTATGATTTTGACATTTGACTATCCAAATAGCTGTAGATGCATGACATAAACTGGTAGAGGAGAGACAGAATTGAAATTCTCCACTAGAGGGCAGAAAAACATCACTTTCAACAGATGACTTTTGGCATATTTTACATTTTTAAAAGAGATAGTTCACCCCAACATTTTGTCATAACTTACTCATCCTCAAGTTGTTCCAAACCTCTGTGAGTTTCTGTCTTCTGTTGAATACAAAAGTGGATATTTTAAAGAATGTTGGCAATCGAACAGTTGACGGTAGCCATTGAGTTCAATAGTAGGAAAAACAAATAGCCTACTAAGTCAATGGCACCGTAAACTGTTTGATTACCAACATTCTTCAACATTTATCTTCTTTTGTATTCAACAGAAGAAAGAAACTCATAACGTTACAGGTTTGGAACTACTTGAGGGTGAGTAAATTACAGAATTTTCATTTTTTGGGCGAACTATCCCTTTAAGCAGCTTGGGATCAGTTATGCAGAATGAGCAGGAAAAATATGGTGGGTGTTAGGGAAAATGTGAATAAAAAAATCTTATTTGAGATTGAGAAGCACATGTAGGCCTATATGCCTCAATATGAGTTATTTTCTGTCAATTGAGTAACAGTATGGTAAAAACTAGCTGTCTCAATATTTTACTTTTGGGCTTCTTTGTAGCTATACAGTCAACTTCTTAAGACTTGTGTTTTATTAAGCCTGAATAGTTAATGCCGACTCATTTACAAACACATTCCCACTGAGGTTCAGCTGAAAGAGAGTGGACAGTAAACCGAGATGACAGTGGCAAAACAAGCCTGTCCGGCGGTCTGATTGGTTGTTACCACGACAACAGTTGTCAAGGGCTATGTACGCTTGAGGTGTGTATTTTCTAAGCTCGGCTCGGGGCTAAAGTGTTAGTTTTGCGCGAGACCAGCTGCGCTTCCGGTTACGCTCACCCTCCTGCAGTCAGACCCCTTTATTATGCTCAGTGTGTGTAGTTGTGTACCGTAAATGACAAAGTGCAGTGAAAACTAAGCTGAATTGATCGGTTTTTTAGGAATGAATAGGCTAGAAATCCTTCAACATTTCTTTCATTCACTAGTCCAGTTCAAATAGATATTTCTTATAATTTCATCAAAGGTAAGGTCAAAAGACAGCTTCCAAGCAGCATTACATCTTGATTGAATCTCTATCCATTGGTCCTTTGTGTCTTCAAAGATATCAGGGCTCTTCAAGCCCTCATCTTTTATTTAGTAATCTAGTTTGCATAGAAGAGAACCTCTTCCAACTGTTGGCAAGGCACAGGGCTTTAAGACAACATAATGCAGCAAACACAAATCATTAAACGAGCACTTTTTGTTCTTTCAAAAGTCTTTCATTCAAAGCTATTTTGACACAAAGGGGAAATAAACTACATGGCCAAAAGAATGTTTAAACCTGAACACCACACACACACACATGTTGTGTTTTCATGTTTAATGGGGACTTTCCATAAACATAATGATGTTTATACTGTACAAACTGTATATTCTATCCCCTTGTGTATAACCCTAACCCTCCCCATCACAGGGGATAAAAAAAATGTCGACACAAGGACAAGGATTTCGGATATTCCCATGTAGGGACATTTTGTCCCCATGATGTAGGGTTTACCAGGCCACACACATATACAGGTCCTTCTCAAAAAATTAGCATATTGTGATAAAGTTCATTATTTTCCATAATGTAATGATAAAAATTAAACTTTAATATATTTTAGATTCGTTGCACACCAACTGAAATATTTCAGGTATTTTATTGTTTTAATACTGATGATTTTGGCATACAGCTCATGAAAACACCAAATTCCTGTCTCAAAAAATTAGCATATTTCATCCGACCAATAAAAGAAGTGTTTTTAATACAAAAAATAATTATGTTCAGTTATGCACTCAATAGTCAATAGCTGGGTTTCAGTCACGTGATTATGATGACGCGCGGAATTCAGATGGAGGGCAGGGAGTGAAGAGCGCAATGGACGAGATGGAGGAAAGTCCGTACTGTACTACTTTACACGCTATTACAAGAGAAAGATATAAACAAAAAAATCAAACATATGTTGGACGTGATCCTTACGTTATGAAGAGGAGCGATTTTCAACTGAATTGAAAGATTTTCCTGCCATCGAGGCGGTAGATATCAGCAACTACCTCGTCTTACAGACATACTTTGACTTTACAAAGTTCGGAAACGTTACACGTTACACAAACACAGCCACTTAAGTTGTATTAACTCACATTTGACGAAGTGATCACTGCACACACGGGCATTTTCCCATCCGGCTCCTCCCGACCGCAGACGTAGGTTTGCAAGCCGTTTTTCCGGAGTTTTTCGGTCAATTTCTTGCATTTTCCCCCCTTATGAACAACAACTTTTGGTACACGATAAAAACTCCTCGTGGTTGGATCGATTTAAGTAACCATAAACGACGCAAAACATAGGCATTTTGAGCTTGTTATAGTGCTTTCTAAATACAGCAAATCACTTCCTGCCCTCCATTTGCATTTCGTGCCATGGAAACGCAGTGGCGTGACGTCATATGAAAACAAGCTATACTTGGTCGGGAATCCTTTTGCAGAAATGACCGCTTCAATGCGGCGTGGCATGGAGGCAATCAGCCTGTGGCACTGCTGAGGTGTTATGGAGGCCCAGGATGCTTCGATAGCGGCCTTAAGCTCATCCAGAGTGTTGGGTCTTGCGTCTCTCAACTTTCTCTTCACAACATCCCACAGATTCTCTATGGGGTTCAGGTCAGGAGAGCTGGCAGGCCAATTGAGCACAGTAATACCATGGTCAGTAAACCATTTACCAGTGGTTTTGGCACTGTGAGCAGGTGCCAGGTCGTGCTGAAAAATGAAATCTTCATCTCCATAAAGCTTTTCAGCAGATGGAAGCATGAAGTGCTCCAAAATCTCCTGATAGCAAGCTGCATTGACCCTGCCCTTGATAAAACACAGTGCACCAACACCAGCAGCTGACATGGCACCCCAGACCATCACTGACTGTGGGTACTTGACACTGGACTTCAGGCATTTTGGCATTTCCTTCTCCCCAGTCTTCCTCCAGACTCTGGCACCTTGATTTCCGAATGACATGCAAAACTGAGCAACAGTCCAGTGCTGCTTCTCTGTAGCCCAGGTCAGGTGCTTCTGCCGCTGTTTCTGGTTGAAAAGTGGCTTGACCTGGGGAATGCGGCACCTGTACCCATTTCCTGCACACGCCTGTGCACGGTGGCTATAGCGGCTGTAGACAACGCAAAACAAAAACCTGCAGCCGCGAGGGGCTAAACACTGAGAGACGGAAAACACTGTGACGCGCAGCAACTCAGTTCCACTCGACGATCTCATTTCAATCCTTTATTCCACTTCGACACATAAAAGTACAACAGGCACTGCAGTTACCATGTCATAAGAATTCCGTGGAAGTGCGCGAGTGCGAGTGCGGATGCGGGTGCGGTCAACAGAAAGTGTTCGCTCCCAGGCTCACCCCCTCTCTCTGTCAAAGCCATAAAACCCAGGTGATCCAGTGAAGCAAACATATAGGCCACTATCACTTCCGCCCAAACTCCGGTGGACACGCCCACCACCTACAATACGAGTGCTGTGAATATTATGAATGAGACATAGAACACATGTGAGACTTACGCTGGCTCCTACATTCCGGCCCCTAATTATTTTAACACAATAATTATACAACTGCACATTATGTAGGAGATCAACACACATTTTTTTTTTTTTTTTTTTTAGGATAAGACAGTCCATTTAAAAGTGTCCTTTCTTCTTTAGACCAAACGAAATAAAGTTTCTTTGTAAAGATAAATTGTCTTTGTAAAGAATAATCTTCACAATCAGAGTCAGTCATGTAAAAGAAAAAAGGCCCGTATGACAGTCAAGTTTAAAGTCAAAGTCTATGAAGTTCAAAGGTCAGTTGGA